GTACGAGCGACCTCCATGACTAAGCCAATGCGGCGCTCAGCAGCCCCATTCTGCTGCGGAGAGGCCGGAAGCGTGAACGGCTGGGTGATGCCGTGCTCCTCACAGAAGGCTGCCAAGAGGTCGGAGGAAAACTCACCACCTCTGTCAGAGTGCAGACGCAGGACGGGAAACTCCGTCCCGAACCGCTCGCGGAGCTGGAGACGAGTAGCGCGGATCCAAGGGATCAAAACATCAGGGACCTCACCCTTGGTGCGCAAGGGGAAGACCGTGGTGTAACGCGTGTAGTCGTCGACGACCAGCAGGAAGTACCGCTCATGGCCCTGTCCACGGACGCGGGCTGGGCCCCACACGTCCAGGTGGAGAGTCTGCAGGGGAGCCTCTGTGGGAGGGAACGAGGAGGAGTGAGGAGCGGCGCGCTGCCGCCCCTCGACACAGGGAAGACAGGGAGGAGCAGGCGAGGGTGGGAGGGGAGGGAGAACCCTGGGGAGACCAGAGATAAGGGCACGGCGGTGCATGCTGCGAAGGCGCTGCACCGAGGGGTGACCAAGGCGGTGGTGCCAAAGGAGGGTCTGGTGCGACAAGGCGCGACACGAGCAGGGGGCCGACAACTGACCTGACGCAGACGCAGACGCAGACGCAGCTACCTGAGGGGACTCAGTGGTCAGTGTGTACAGGCCCGACCCCGGCTGCCGAGTGAAGGTAGCCAGGTGACGACCCGTCTGAGCACACGTGCACTATGTCACACGCTCGTAGGCAGGGGTGAACTGGTGAACACCCGCGTCCTGGAGCGCAGAACCCGCCACCAAGTTCGTAGAGAACGAGGGGAGGTAAAGACCCGACAGTGTGCCGGACGGGACAGCAGGACAAGGGAGGACAGTGGAGGAGGTCGCACGGACTGGACCCCCAGAGGTGTCTGCCAGGGAGACTGGAACCGGCCAACTGAGCGGCGTGAGGGTGGTGCTGTCGCGAAAGAAGGAGCGAGAAGCACCAGAGTCAAGTGTGAAGGTGTACAAGGCCTGAGCAGGCGCAGTACCAGAGAGAGCAGACTCACCAGCACCTGGAGCAACAGCCTCACCAGTACCTAGAGCAGGAGACACACTAGCCCCTAGAGCAGCAGCCTCACCAGCACCTAGAGCAGCAGGCTCTATACCTGGGTCAGGCGGTACGCACAGGTAACAGGCACGGTCAGCACTAGTAGGCAATGCATACATGGCAGTGAGAATAGCATCATAGTCAAGAGCAAATATATCTACCCTCTGCCCAAGCAGCTCCACCCAGTCGGGGAGCTCAGCCTCGTCGCCAAACTCGGTACGCCAGGCGTCGCTCAGACGGGCGAAGCAGCGGGACTGTGTGTGACTGAGCGTCCCGCAAGCCTGACCAGTCCGAGCACCAATGCGAATGACGTACGGGCAGCGAACGGTACTCAGATACCCTCTACTCTGAGCGTACCACTCACGAAGCTGCTGGGGCGTGCGAGACTCGCGCGGACGTCGCTGGAGCTGCATCTGGCCACCGCCAGTAGCAGCAGTAGTAGTAGTAGCAGCAGTAGCAGCAGTAACAGCAGTAGCAGCAGTAGCAGCAGTAGCAGCGCGGCCACCCCTACAACCCCAACTAGCGTACCACTCACTAAGCTGCTGGGGCGTAAGGGACTCACGCGGACGTCGCTGGAGCTGCATCTGGCCACTGTCAGTAGCAGCAGTAGCAGTAGCAGTAGCAGTAGCAATAGCAGTAGTAGCAGCAGCAGCGCATGCAGGGCAGGCGCGGCAGGCAGGCAGGCAGGCCGGCAGGCAGGCAGGCAGGCAGGAGGCAGGCAGGCAGGCAGGCGGCATCGCACGAACAAGGTAGGTGCTCACCAGTGGCAGGCAGGGCCGGCGCTCGGCGGGGCCGCAACAGCGGCCGCAGAGTAGGGCCGCGTCGGCGGTAGGGCAGGTTCCGCGACAGCTGCTGCAGGGCGGGGCCGTGACAGCTGCAGGGCGGGGCCGCAACGGCGGCAGAAGGCTCCGCGGCAGCTGCTGCAGGGCGGGGCCGTGACCGCGGCAGGAGGCTCCGCGGCAGCTGCTGCAGGGTGGGGCCGCGACTGCGGCAGAAGGCTCCGCGACAGCTGCTGCAGGGCAGGGCCGCGACGGCGGCAGGAGGCTCCGCGGCAGCTGCTGCAGGGCAGGGCCGCGACTGTAGTAGGGCGCTCCGTGGCAGCTGCTGCAGGAGCGACGGTGGCAGTCAGGCAGGGGCGGCGTCCAGGGGCAGCCGCGAGGAACAAGGGCAGCCGCGGCGCGCGAGGCTGCAGCGCGCTGCGCGAGCTGCGGGCGCGGCGCGCGGGGCTGCAGCGCGACGCGCTAAACCCTAAACGCGGCGCGCGGGACTGCAGCGCGACGCGCGGGCAGCGAACGCGACGCGCGGGGCTGCAGCGCGACGCGCAGGCAGCGGGCGCGACGCGCAGGGCTGCAGCGCGACGCGCGGGCAGCGGACGCGACGCGCGGGGCTGCAGTGCGACGCGCGGGCAGCGGGGCAGCGACCTGGCCTGACGGGCCTGCAGGGGCGGCTCGCTGGCTTGACGGGCCTGCAGGGGCGGCTAGCGGGCTTGACGGGCCTGCAGGGGCGGCTAGCGGGCCTGACGGGCCTGCAGGGGCGGCTAGCGGGCCTGACAGGCCTGCAGGGGCGGCTAGCAGGCCTGACGGGCCTGCAGGGGCGGCGCTCTGGCCTGACGGGCCTGCAGGGGCGGCTCGCGGGCCTGACGGGCCTGCAGGGACGGCTAGCGGGCCTGACGGGCTTGCAGGGGCGGCTCGCGGGTCGTACGGGCCTGCAGGGACGGCGCGCTGGCCTAGGGCAGCAGTAGGCAGCGCGACGGCTGCAGGACGGCGCGCGCAGCGCAGCACGTCACAAGGCGAGGCAGGCAGGCAGGCGCACGTGGGGTAGCGTGGTAACCGCAACGGTAGGTGGGCCCGAAAAAAAAAACGGTCCTACGGACCTAGTGCTCTGAAACCATGTTAGAATCTAGCAGCATGAATGAGTGCATTGAACAGAGATGTGGGTACATATGCTAACCCTAATTTGGGTTGTACCCCTTATGGGCTACCCCACTACAGCCTACACAGCACAAGCATTATCATAGTTTGACAAAGGGACGACAGCACGGATTAAGGGGGGGCGCAGAGCTAGCAACGCTTGAAGATAGAAACGAGATGCGGAAAATGAGGAGTGAAGCCACCTTCCACAAAGAAAAGGAGGTGGTGCCCCACCGCAGGCCGGTTGAGCATCGCCCAAGGGTGTGGGGCCTGGCTCGGCAGGGCTCGTAGGGCGCATGCGCAAGTGGCACAGGTGGTCCGTCTCCGCCTTGGCAGAACGTCGACTTCGCGTCCATTGGCCCAGGTCGGCGATGGGACGCACATTCGCATGCGCGCGGAGCGTCGCTTCGGCCGACACGTGTAGATTTCGTAGCGGGTCGCGAAACTCGTGCGCCGCGATGCGAGCATTATAATTTCGCCCGGTACGAAATCTCGCATGCGCCGGATGCGAAGCCACGGGCGAACATGTGGCGTCACCGCAACGGGTCGCGAAATTGTCGAGTGTCCCAAGGGAGGCCCCGAATTTTCGCATGGCCCTCGCCTGCCCGTCCGGGCAGGTCGCGATGGGTTACTAGGACCTCGCGGGCAGGTGGGAGGGGTGGGCTGCCTTCGCGCGAGGGTTACTTTCCCTCGCGCGAGGGGTCGCCAGTTCGCTGACCCCACCTGGTAACGTGGGTCGCTGTTCACTTTCGGAGCGGGGTTGCGGGGCGGCGGTCGTGCGCTCGGCCCAGCCCTGGGCCAGGCTGGCGGGCCCGCACGCGCGTCAGTTGCCCTCCTCGTCAGGCCCGACTCCGACGACCCCCCTCGACGACACTGGCAATTCGGCTCCGACGACCGAATTGCGCTGGGATGTTCGGATACGTGAAGTATTAGCGTTATATTCATTGGAATAATAAGAGTATTAGCACCATGCCCACCAATCTGTGGCGCTGCTGATGGTTCATATCGAAACAGCTTGAATGAAGAACGTTACCATTCTCCTTCTTTCGCCAAAATTGGTGTTCCATGTAGTTCCGTCTTCGCCAAAGGTCGGAACTGATATCGCTAGCTAGACTGACGTTCGCCGAACCAATCCCAAGGTCACTAGCCTCACCTAACCCAACCTGGTTCCCGCCATAAGTGGTGAGCTGAGCATAGCACTGACTAAGCTGCTGTACTCTCATCTCATGACCTAATTTGACGCATTTTCTAGGACAGTAGGCTTCCTTCAGTCATGTCTCTGATGATCTAGTCCTACGGCATTGGGGTGTCTTACTGAGAATACTGACAGTTTTTCTTACGTTTAAAAGCGGAACTTGTATTACTGAAGATACTTTTATCACTGCTGCGTTCGTGTCTGAAGTTGTGTTACTTCAATGTATCTCGCTTCGTTAGTGGACCGTGTCGCCAGCAGAAAAAACCCTCTTTGTCAACAAGCATGCTGTAGAAAAGTTACGTTCCGCCGCGACTGTCCTAGCACGTAATGTCGCCTTCGAGCGCGTCCACTCCTTTTCTGCTTTTCACATTGCCAAGCAACAGTTCGCATTAGCCGGCACTAGCAGACGCTAACTGACTCTATCTGTGCATCCAGCTGGCATCCCGCTTCCAGCTATCCGGCCAGGGAAAGCTAGAAAGCATCATACCTACTTATACCAGTCTTAGTTTCCCATCAAGTTAACGGCAGCCATGGATTTGGCTATGCTCCAAGCCATGGCGGCTGAGATGATGGCCGAAGACCCGGCCTTAGCAGCCGCAATGCAGGACAGCCCTCCGGCAGAAAAGTCCAAGAACGGCCCGTCGTCTCTGAGCCGAAACAGACTAGCTCGGGAACGAGAGAAAGCGCGAGAAAAGGAGCGGCCTGCTCCACGGTCGCGGGGGACCTCTCCGCTGCACGTCCGGATACCGAACGAGAATGCGGGAGGTTCGGAAGTAGTCGACTCGTCTCCCGCTCCCGCGCCGATGTTTCCGGGTAAAGCTCCCTCCGTGGAGAAGCGGCTTCCGACGCCGGAGAAAGGAGGGCCACGTGGCACGTTTGCGGACATGATCGCGGCTCGGAAAGCAGAGAAAGGGGGGAGCGGCGGCGGAAGCGCAATATCCGAAATGATCGCCGCGCGGCAGCAGAGCGCGAAAGACGCGGAACCTTCGGGGGAGGATCCCGAGGTCACAGCGGCAAAGGCGGCGGCGGAAGCGAACCGGCTGGCCATTTTTAACTCTATCCGGTTTTCGGGCCAGCCGAGTCCGGGCCAGTTAAAGCCCGAGGAACGCAACGGTATCGACCGTAGCAGCAATCTTGGCGGCGGCATCGGCGAGTCGCGCATGGCCGGGCCCGAGAAGCGAACCAGCTTATCCTCGGTAGTGTCGAACGCGGAGGCGGAAGCCGCCGCCGCCGCTGCCGCTGCGGCTATAGCCGCGGCAGGCACGCCGGGCGGACCCGGGGGAGGGTTTTCCAGGGACGGGCCGTCTCCGCCCGTGTCCATCCGCCGTCCGCCGTCGCGCGGAGCTATGAGCTTCGCAAGCAGTTCGGACGGGGAGCCGAGCGCCCAGGTGATGCCGTGGGGGGGAAGCCCCGCGCCCCGCCTGGGGGGAGGAGCGGGGGCGGAGCGCGGGGGCGGGGGGTTTCCGGTCTCCGCGGAGAGCCCCGGGGGAAGGAGCGTGGCGAGCGAGATGCTGACGTTGGATAATGATGACGTGGCGGGTGGGGGCCCGGTGGTGGCGGCGCTACAGGCGGCGCACGCGCGGAGGAAGCAGAGTGACCGGAGCTACTTCCAAAAGGCCGAGGAGATGTACTCTTTACAGGTGCGGACTCGTTACAGAGGTGTGGTGTACCAAGCACGTACGGACACGCTAAAGAGGTGTGTATGCATGCATGCTACCTTGTGTTATCTTCAGCCTGTTCTCCCGAGCATGTTTTGCTATCTCCATGCCTTTACCGCCTGATAGCATGTGGCAGTGACGCTTTCCCGCCTGATAGCCCAGAGGAAGCGGTCGTGGCAGAGGAGACGGATGGGCGATATGCATGAATCACCATACCTTACCTGACTGCACCACATCCACAAAGTTTCCTTCTCCATGCCTTTGCCGCCTGATATCAGGTGGCGGTGGCGCTGCGGCTGATAGAGGACGCGGAGATGGCGGAGGAGACGGAGATGGCGCCCCCTCAGGCGAACCCCAACGACATGCTCTGGGCCAGTCCGCTCATGCCACGTAGCCAGGCTGAAGCCACAGCCTACCGCTTCTGGGTAAGATAATTGTCTCGATCAGAAGAGGTAATGGATGCCTGAGCTACGAGGGGATCAGTCAGGCCTGCTTTCGAAGGTAATGAGATGAGACCAAGGCGAGGCCTGCTTTCGAAGGTAATGAGATGAGACCAAGGCGAGGCCTGCTTTCGAAGGTAATGAGATGAGACCAAGGCGAGGCCTGCTTTCGAAGGTAATGAGATGAGACCAAGGCGAGGCCTGCTTTCGAAGGTAATGAGATGAGACCAAGGCGAGGCCTGCTTTCGAAGGTAATGAGATGAGACCAAGGCGAGGCCTGCTTTCGAAGGTAATGAGATGAGAGCAAGGCGAGGCCTGCTTTCGAAGGTAATGAGATGAGAGCAAGGCGAGGCCTGCTTTCGAAGGTAATGAGATGAGACCAAGGCGAGGCCTGCTTTCGAAGGTAATGAGATGAGACCAAGGCGAGGCCTGCTTTCGAAGGTAATGAGATGAGAGCAAGGCGAGGCCTGCTTTCGAAGGTAATGAGATGAGACCAAGGCGAGGCCTGCTTTCGAAGGTAATGAGATGAGACCAAGGCGAGGCCTGCTTTCGAAGGTAATGAGATGAGACCAAGGCGAGGCCTGCTTTCGAAGGTAATGAGATGAGACCAAGGCGAGGCCTACTTTCTTCTTCTCCCAGCTTCCCACCTTCCCACGCACGCGCGGCACTGGCACGTCCCCACGCCCCACAGGTGAACGGATGCCTGAGCTACAAGGACCGCACATCTGGGGCATGCAGCCGTATGTACTCGCTCTGGCCCTTTTCCCCCCGTTTCCCATGCTTCACACACATACACGCGCCCCCACTCTTACAGGTGAACGGGTGTCTGAGTTCTGAGGACCGTATAGAGGACAGCTTTTACGACATCTGGGGCATGCAGCCGTACGTCTACTCGCTCTGACCCTCTTTACCCCTCTTGTTTCACACGCACACACCCCCGTACACGCAGGTCAATGGATGCCTGAGTTATGAAGATCGTATCGAAGACGGATTCTACGACATCTGGGGCATGCAGCCGTACGTCTACTCGCTCTGACCCTCTTTACCCCTCTTGTTTCACACGCACACACCCCCGTACACGCAGGTCAATGGATGCCTGAGTTATGAAGATCGTATCGAGGACGGGTTCTACGACATCTGGGGCATGCAGCCGTACGTCTACTCGCTCTGGATGGACTCCTTCCACAACGGCCGCATGCCTCCCCTCGACTCCCTGCACGCGCTGCACCCCACTCCTTACACTACTTGATTGGTGCAACCCGAAGCAGCTCGCAAAATGCTGATTGACCCCCTACTCCCTCCCCCGTTCCCCCATACACAGGTCAATGGATGTCTCAGCTACGAGGATCGTATCGAGGACGGGTTCTACGACATTTGGGGCATGCAGCCGTACGTCTACTCGCTCTGCGTGGACTCCTCCCACCGCGGCCGCATGCCGCCGCTCGACTCCCTGCGCGCGCTGCACCCAAGCGAGGCGTCGTTTGATGTGGCGCTGATCAACCGCACCATTGATGCGGAGCTGAAGGACCTGGAGGATGAAGCAGTTAACCTCGCTTATGCTGCCACCGAGGTGCAGACACTCGCGCAGAAGCTGGGCGTGCTGGTGGCGCATCATATGGGGTGAGTGCCTGCTTGCCTGCCTCTGATAGCTCCTCTGGGCGTCGTTTGACGTGGCGCTCATCAACCGCACCATCGATGCTGAATTGAAGGACCTGGAGGATGAGGCGGTGAACCTGGCGTATGCTGCCACTGAGGTGCAGACTCTGGCGCAGAAGCTGGGAGTCTTGGTGGCTCATCACATGGGGTGAGTGAGTCGCCTGCGGTGCGGTCTGCCTGGTACCCCATGCAACCACGCACGTATGCACGCAAGCACGCTGCAGGAGAAGACTCCAAATCATCCATCCTCTCCCACCCCCCCCCACAACTCCCCGCATCCCCCCTTCCCCCGTCCGCAACCTGTACTCCAGAGGCGCGGTGAACTCAGAGCCCAACGAGTTGATCCCGCGGTTCAGGCAGCGCGGGTGGGAGATCAAGAGCTACCTCAAGACCATTATGCTGCCCATCGGCCAGCCAGCCAGCTGCCAAGGAGCACACCGAAGCCATAATAGCCACTGCGAAAGAGCGTTTAGCTGACTGACTCAATCCCCTCTCCTTTTCTCTCCACTCCTGTCCCCGTCCATTCCCACAAATCCCACCCACTCCAGAGGCGCGGTGAACTCAGAGCCCAACGAGTTGATCCCGCGGTTCAGGCAGCGGGGGTGGGAGATCAAGAGCTACCTCAAGACCATTGTGCTGCCCATCGGCCAGCTGCCCGTGGGGATCTGCCGCCACCGCGCCCTGCTCTTCAAGGTGCGTGCAGTGCGGTGAGGAGGAGTGCAGAGCGGTGAGAGAATGGAGTGGAGTAGAGGCACAAGGAATGTAGGCAGGCCTGTCGAATTCAATGGGGGTGCATCCTCTGTTTCATAGCACACATTCTTTTCTCCTGTCCCCATTCGTTCTTCGTCCCCTTCGTTCTATTTCTCTTCCCCTACTTTTACCCCAACCTTCCCGCCTTTCCTCCCCCGTCCGCTCCCCAATTACCAGGTGCTGGCAGACGCACTGGGCATGCCATGTCGTATCCAGAAGAGGTGCAAGTTCTGTGCCATGGACGATGGCGCACATGTTATTTTCCCGACTTCCCCTCACCTCACCCCCACAAACCCTCCTCCCTCCCCCGCCGCTCCCCCATGACCAGGTGTTGGCGGACGCGCTGGGCATGCCATGTCGTATCCAGAAGGGATGCAAGTTCTGTGGGATGGACGATGGGGCCTCGTGCCTTGTGCTTGCCAGTGATGAGAGGTGAGCCAGTGGAGTCTGGCCAGGTGCACTGCGGTACCTGTAGGTGCTGGGGAATTGTGGCATGGACGACAGAGCCTCGTGCCTTGTGCTCGCCAGTGATGAGAGGTGAGTGCTGAGTGATTTTGAGTTGGCTCACACAGCATCTCACGCCCTTTTGAATGCACAATGGTGTCGGCGCTGGGGTAATGGGAATGCCATTGCAATCAAAAGAGTTGATTTTTTAGGCGCCTAAAAAATTGACTCACACAGCATCTCACGCCCTTTTGAATGCACAATGGCGCTGGTGCTGGGGTAATGGGATGGGCATGCCATTGCGCATTCAAAAGTGGTGACGATGGGGCATTCTTATTTGTGCTCACCTGGGGTACGGGGCGGGTTCTGAGTTGACTCACACAACATTCACTCTAGGTGAAATGGGCATCCTCCTCCTTTCCCCTCCTGCCCTTTCCCCTCCCCTCCACCGTCCTCCCCCCATCCATCTTCCCCCCCTTCCACTCAGGGAGTATGTGGTCGACTTGCTGCAGCACCCAGGCACGCTGCTCACAATCGAGCCCTCGGCCGAGTCAGCCACCAGCAGCAGCATTTTCCCTTCCCGTTGCTCACTCACTCCCTCCCTCCTCTCTTCCTCCCGCCACACACAGAGAGTACGTGGTGGATCTGCTGCAGCGCCCAGGCACTCTCCTCACCATCGAGCCCTCGGCAGAGTCTGCCACCAGCACCGCCACCAACGCCACCTGCTTATGATCTCCCCCATTCTTTCTCCTCTCCCCAACACACACACAGGGAATATGTCGTGGATCTGCTGCAGCGCCCAGGCACTCTCCTCACCATCGAGCCCTCGGCAGAGTCTGCCACCAGCACCGCCACCAACGCCACTTACATCGCCTCGCCCCTGCGCTGCCCGGAGATCAAATCTCTCGCGCTCACGGACCCTGCGGACGGCACGGTGCCGCAATGGGTGCCGGACTTCAGAAGGTGAGACCTGGGGAAGGCTTTTGCTCCTTCTGATAAAGGGGACGTACGCGCTAGGTTCAACATATCTCTCGCGCTCTCAGGCCTTGCTGCAGGCCTTGCTGCCTCGTAATCTCCTCGACCCGTTCCATTGATCTCCTCTTTCCACTGCTGGCCCTTTCCATCCCTCTCCCGCCTTCCTCACCTCACTCACCCTGCCCCAATGAGGAGGCAGCAGCAGGAGCAGGATGCAGAGGCGATGGTGGGATCGAGGCACATCTACGTGGGAGGGCCCAAGGACCCTTATCCCTCCTCCTCCTCTCTTTCACCCATTATCCCCATGTCTCTCCCCCTTGTTTCCCAATCACCAGGCAGCAGCAGGAGCAGGATGCGGAGGCGATGGTGGGATCGAGGCGAATTTACGCGGGAGGGCCCAAGGACCCGCGGCACGTGGCTGCATCGCCCAAGGGGGAGAGGCGGCGGAAGGAGCTCAAAGAGGTGGAGGAGGAGGAGGACAGCGAGGAGGAGGAGGAGAAGAAGCCGCAGAAGAAGGCCGGGAAGAAGGGCGGCGGGGAGGAGGACGAGGGGAAGAAGAAGGTGAGTGGGTTGTTTTGGGTTGCCTGGAGTAAGATAGGTAAGATGATGGGGGTGCGTACATGTGGAGGAGGAGGATAGCGACGAGGAGGATAAGAAACCTCAGAAGAAGGGCAGCAGGGAGGAGGAGGGGAAGAAGAAGGGGAGTGGGTTTGTTTTCTAGGGTGGAGAGGAGAGGACGAGGAAGAGAGGGAAGCTCAGGCGGTGGGGAGAGGGAGGGGAAGCGGAGGAAGAGGTTCAAGGGGTTCAAGGGGTTCAAGGGGTTCAAGGGGTTCAAGGGGTTCAAGGGGTTCATGGGGTTCATGGGGTTCATGGGGTTCAAGGGGTTCAAGGGGTTCAAGGGGTTCATGGGGTTCATGGGGTTCATGGGGTTCATGGGGTTCAAGGGGTTCATGGGGTTCATGGGGTTCAAGGGGTTCATGGGGTTCATGGGGTTCATGGGGTTCAAGGGGTTCAAGGGGTTCATGGGGTTCATGGGGTTCAAGGGGTTCATGGGGTTCATGGGGTTCAAGGGGTTCAAGGGGTTCAAGGGGTTCAAGGGGTTCAAGGGGTTCAAGGGGTTCAAGGGGTTCATGGGGTTCATGGGGTTCATGGGGTTCATGGGGTTCAAGGGGTTCATGGGGTTCATGGGGTTCAAGGGGTTCATGGGGTTCATGGGGTTCATGGGGTTCAAGGGGTTCAAGGGGTTCATGGGGTTCATGGGGTTCAAGGGGTTCATGGGGTTCATGGGGTTCAAGGGGTTCAAGGGGTTCAAGGGGTTCAAGGGGTTCAAGGGGTTCAAGGGGTTCAAGGGGTTCAAGGGGTTCAAGGGGTTCAAGGGGTTCATGGGGTTCATGGGGTTCATGGGGTTCATGGGGTTCAAGGGGTTCATGGGGTTCATGGGGTTCAAGGGGTTCATGGGGTTCATGGGGTTCATGGGGTTCAAGGGGTTCAAGGGGTTCATGGGGTTCATGGGGTTCATGGGGTTCAAGGGGTTCAAGGGGTTCATGGGGTTCATGGGGTTCATGGGGTTCAAGGGGTTCATGGGGTTCAAGGGGTTCATGGGGTTCATGGGGTTCAAGGGGTTCAAGGGGTTCATGGGGTTCATGGGGTTCATGGGGTTCATGGGGTTCATGGGGTTCAAGGGGTTCATGGGGTTCATGGGGTTCATGGGGTTCAAGGGGTTCAAGGGGTTCATGGGGTTCATGGGGTTCATGGGGTTCAAGGGGTTCAAGGGGTTCATGGGGTTCAAGGGGTTCAAGGGGTTCATGGGGTTCATGGGGTTCATGGGGTTCAAGGGGTTCAAGGGGTTCATGGGGTTCATGGGGTTCATGGGGTTCAAGGGGTTCATGGGGTTCAAGGGGTTCATGGGGTTCATGGGGTTCAAGGGGTTCAAGGGGTTCATGGGGTTCATGGGGTTCATGGGGTTCATGGGGTTCATGGGGTTCATGGGGTTCATGGGGTTCATGGGGTTCATGGGGTTCATGGGGTTCATGGGGTTCAAGGGGTTCAAGGGGTTCATGGGGTTCATGGGGTTCATGGGGTTCAAGGGGTTCATGGGGTTCATGGGGTTCAAGGGGTTCAAGGGGTTCATGGGGTTCATGGGGTTCAAGGGGTTCATGGGGTTCATGGGGTTCAAGGGGTTCATGGGGTTCATGGGGTTCATGGGGTTCATGGGGTTCAAGGGGTTCAAGGGGTTCATGGGGTTCATGGGGTTCAAGGGGTTCAAGGGGTTCATGGGGTTCATGGGGTTCATGGGGTTCAAGGGGTTCATGGGGTTCAAGGGGTTCATGGGGTTCATGGGGTTCAAGGGGTTCAAGGGGTTCATGGGGTTCATGGGGTTCATGGGGTTCAAGGGGTTCATGGGGTTCATGGGGTTCAAGGGGTTCATGGGGTTCATGGGGTTCATGGGGTTCATGGGGTTCAAGGGGTTCAAGGGGTTCATGGGGTTCATGGGGTTCAAGGGGTTCAAGGGGTTCATGGGGTTCATGGGGTTCATGGGGTTCAAGGGGTTCATGGGGTTCATGGGGTTCATGGGGTTCATGGGGTTCATGGGGTTCATGGGGTTCATGGGGTTCATGGGGTTCAAGGGGTTCATGGGGTTCATGGGGTTCATGGGGTTCAAGGGGTTCAAGGGGTTCATGGGGTTCAAGGGGTTCAAGGGGTTCATGGGGTTCATGGGGTTCATGGGGTTCAAGGGGTTCAAGGGGTTCATGGGGTTCATGGGGTTCATGGGGTTCAAGGGGTTCATGGGGTTCAAGGGGTTCATGGGGTTCATGGGGTTCAAGGGGTTCAAGGGGTTCATGGGGTTCATGGGGTTCATGGGGTTCATGGGGTTCATGGGGTTCAAGGGGTTCATGGGGTTCATGGGGTTCATGGGGTTCAAGGGGTTCAAGGGGTTCATGGGGTTCATGGGGTTCATGGGGTTCAAGGGGTTCAAGGGGTTCATGGGGTTCAAGGGGTTCAAGGGGTTCATGGGGTTCATGGGGTTCATGGGGTTCAAGGGGTTCAAGGGGTTCATGGGGTTCATGGGGTTCATGGGGTTCAAGGGGTTCATGGGGTTCAAGGGGTTCATGGGGTTCATGGGGTTCAAGGGGTTCAAGGGGTTCATGGGGTTCATGGGGTTCATGGGGTTCATGGGGTTCATGGGGTTCATGGGGTTCATGGGGTTCATGGGGTTCATGGGGTTCATGGGGTTCATGGGGTTCAAGGGGTTCAAGGGGTTCATGGGGTTCATGGGGTTCATGGGGTTCAAGGGGTTCATGGGGTTCATGGGGTTCAAGGGGTTCAAGGGGTTCATGGGGTTCATGGGGTTCAAGGGGTTCATGGGGTTCATGGGGTTCAAGGGGTTCATGGGGTTCATGGGGTTCATGGGGTTCATGGGGTTCAAGGGGTTCAAGGGGTTCATGGGGTTCATGGGGTTCAAGGGGTTCAAGGGGTTCATGGGGTTCATGGGGTTCATGGGGTTCAAGGGGTTCATGGGGTTCAAGGGGTTCATGGGGTTCATGGGGTTCAAGGGGTTCAAGGGGTTCATGGGGTTCATGGGGTTCATGGGGTTCAAGGGGTTCATGGGGTTCATGGGGTTCAAGGGGTTCATGGGGTTCATGGGGTTCATGGGGTTCATGGGGTTCAAGGGGTTCAAGGGGTTCATGGGGTTCATGGGGTTCAAGGGGTTCAAGGGGTTCATGGGGTTCATGGGGTTCATGGGGTTCAAGGGGTTCATGGGGTTCATGGGGTTCATGGGTTCATGGGGTTCATGGGGTTCAAGGGGTTCATGGGGTTCATGGGGTTCAAGGGGTTCATGGGGTTCATGGGGTTCATGGGGTTCAAGGGGTTCATGGGGTTCATGGGGTTCAAGGGGTTCATGGGGTTCATGGGGTTCAAGGGGTTCATGGGGTTCATGGGGTTCAAGGGGTTCATGGGGTTCATGGGGTTCATGGGGTTCAAGGGGTTCATGGGGTTCATGGGGTTCAAGGGGTTCATGGGGTTCATGGGTTCATGGGGTTCATGGGTTCATGGGGTTCATGGGGTTCATGGGGTTCATGGGGTTCATGGGGTTCATGGGGTTCATGGGGTTCATGGGGTTCATGGGGTTCATGGGGTTCATGGGGTTCATGGGGTTCATGGGGTTCATGGGGTTCATGGGGTTCATGGGGTTCATGGGGTTCATGGGGTTCATGGGGTTCATGGGGTTCATGGGGTTCATGGGGTTCATGGGGTCATGGGGTTCATGGGGTTCATGGGGTTCATGGGGTTCATGGGGTTCATGGGGTTCATGGGGTTCATGGGGTTCATGGGGTTCATGGGGTTCATGGGGTTCATGGGGTTCATGGGGTTCATGGGGTTCATGGGGTTCATGGGGTTCATGGGGTTCATGGGGTTCATGGGGTTCATGGGGTTCATGGGGTTCATGGGGTTCATGGGGTTCATGGGGTTCATGGGGTTCATGGGGTTCATGGGGTTCATGGGGTTCATGGGGTTCATGGGGTTCATGGGGTTCATGGGGTTCATGGGGTTCATGGGGTTCATGGGGTTCATGGGGTTCATGGGGTTCATGGGGTTCATGGTTCATGGGTTCATGGGGTTCATGGGGTTCATGGGGTTCATGGGGTTCATGGGTTCATGGGGTTCATGGGGTTCATGGTGGTTCATGGGGTTCATGGGTTCATGGGGTTCATGGGGTTCATGGGGTTCATGGGGTTCATGGGTTCATGGGGTTCATGGGGTTCATGGGGTTTCATGGGGTTCATGGGGTTCATGGGGTTCATGGGGTTCATGGGTTTCATGGGGTCATGGGGGTTCATGGGGTTCATGGGGTTCATGGGGTTCATGGGGTTCATGGGGTTCATGGGGTTCATGGGTTCATGGGGTTCATGGGGTTCAATGGGGTTCATGGGGTTCATGGGGTTCATGGGGTTCATGGGGTTCATGGGTTCATGGGGTTCATGGGGTTCATGGGGTTCATGGGGTTCATGGGGTTCATGGGGTTCATGGGGTTCATGGGGTTCATGGGGTTCATGGGGTTCATGGGGTTCATGGGGTTCAATGGGGTTCATGGGGTTCATGGGGTTCATGGGGTTCATGGGGTTCATGGGGTTCATGGGGTTCATGGGGTTCATGGGGTTCATGGGGTTCATGGGGTTCAATGGGTTCATGGGTTCATGGGGTTCATGGGGTTCATGGGTAGGGTTCATGGGGTTCATGGGGTTCATGGGGTTCATGGGGTTCATGGGGTTCATGGGGTTCATGGGGTTCATGGGGTTCATGGGGTTCATGGGGTTCATGGGGTTCATGGGGTTCATGGGGTTCATGGGGTTCATGGGGTTCATGGGGTTCATGGGGTTCATGGGGTTCATGGGGTTCATGGGGTTCATGGGGTTCATGGGGTTCATGGGGTTCATGGGGTTCATGGGGTTCATGGGGTTCATGGGGTTCATGGGGTTCATGGGGTTCATGGGGTTCATGGGGTTCATGGGGTTCATGGGGTTCATGGGGTTCATGGGGTTCATGGGGTTCATGGGGTT